AGCAGGAAGGGCAGAGATTGCCTTATCTTGCAGAGTAACCACTTTTTGCTTATCCAAATGATAATGTACTTTGTGTGGTTATCTAGACATTGAATAATGCGTAAGAGGCCAGAGGCCAGAGGCATTCCCCTTTGATGATCCCTTTTGCATGTCAGTTGTCTCTTGCAGGATTTCCACCACCACTAAAATTTATTTTATGAATTATAAAATCCAATATGCTTATTGTGAAAACATTTCAAAAGATATAGAAGTACATACAAGAGAAAATGGAAAGGTCCTGCCCTCTCCCTAACTATTTGTTTTTTTTCCTGTGGCATATATGACCACCATTATTTTTGCTGGGTGCCTAGGCAGCCACATACAAATGCATGCTGATGAATTCAAGGACTGACTCAATCAGTCGCCCTGGGGAGATGTAATTCATTTCCAGTCCTGTGCTGAGATGCACAGTGCATCCAGTATCCTGTCCTGCGCGCTTCTCTGTTATTCCCTATGACAAATTCCTAGAAGTAGAATCATTACATTAAAGGAAAAATACATTTTCAATACTTATATTTTGCTCATTTCAACCAGGTTTTTTTTTTTTTTTAGTTTATTTATTTTCTTATGAGAGAGAAATTGATTTTTGATTGGATCTTGCCATGCATTGGGATCCTCCTGCTCCAGCCTCCCAGCAAGGTAGAACTTTAAGCACTCCCCACTGTGTCCACCTGTTTCAGGTTGGGGCAGGAACCGAACCCAGTCCTCCCACATGAGCTCAGACACTCAGTAGCAGCTTAGTAGTGTGTGCCACCATGACTGGGCTCTTCAACCAGGTTTTTGACGAGAACTGAGCATCAGCAATTAAAAATAAACTCACTTTAAAATATTTGAAGTATGACAAATACTCAATTAAATGAAAGACAATTCCTATGTACTATATAGTATATATTTTGTCTGAAGCTCTAATAAATTGATCTCTAAGTATTGCTTCGACTACCCAGAAACTCTAAAGACCTGTATTTCTAGAAAACAAATCCTAAATATGCTAATCTATAAAATAATTGTCAAGAAAATTTGAAATTAAAGGGTTTTTTATTAAAAAATTAATTTTGATAATAATAATACCATAAAGGTTACATTGTTATATCTAAAAATGATAAGGCAGTTGGTTTCGTTGTTTTGTTTTGTTTTGTTTTTGTTTTTGTTTTTTGCCATAGGGCGGGCGCCACCACGCCCTGTTTTTGTTTTTTTATAGATTTTTGCTATAGGGTGTGTGGGCTCACTGGAGAGACAGGCAGAGATAGAGAGACAGAAAGCAAGAAATCACCTCCCAGGGAGATGGCCACACCTCAGTCCTTTCTGCTCCATTCTCCTCTTAGGATTACGGGCACGCACGCACACACACCTGGCATGAGTTTCAAGCCACTGGATCCAGTACTTGAACAGTGGTCAGTCACATGAGAGTCCAGCACCTCACCACTACACCACCTGACAGTGCATCCAGTATCCTGTCCTGCGCGCTTCTCTGTTATTCCCTATGACAAATTCCTAGAAGTAGAATCATTACATTAAAGGAAAAATACATTTTCAATACTTATATTTTGCTCATTTCAACCAGGTTTTTTTTTTTTTTTAGTTTATTTATTTTCTTATGAGAGAGAAATTGATTTTTGATTGGATCTTGCCATGCATTGGGATCCTCCTGCTCCAGCCTCCCAGCAAGGTAGAACTTTAAGCACTCCCCACTGTGTCCACCTGTTTCAGGTTGGGGCAGGAACCGAACCCAGTCCTCCCACATGAGCTCAGACACTCAGTAGCAGCTTAGTAGTGTGTGCCACCATGACTGGGCTCTTCAACCAGGTTTTTGACGAGAACTGAGCATCAGCAATTAAAAATAAACTCACTTTAAAATATTTGAAGTATGACAAATACTCAATTAAATGAAAGACAATTCCTATGTACTATATAGTATATATTTTGTCTGAAGCTCTAATAAATTGATCTCTAAGTATTGCTTCGACTACCCAGAAACTCTAAAGACCTGTATTTCTAGAAAACAAATCCTAAATATGCTAATCTATAAAATAATTGTCAAGAAAATTTGAAATTAAAGGGTTTTTTATTAAAAAATTAATTTTGATAATAATAATACCATAAAGGTTACATTGTTATATCTAAAAATGATAAGGCAGTTGGTTTCGTTGTTTTGTTTTGTTTTGTTTTTGTTTTTGTTTTTTGCCATAGGGCGGGCGCCACCACGCCCTGTTTTTGTTTTTTTATAGATTTTTGCTATAGGGTGTGTGGGCTCACTGGAGAGACAGGCAGAGATAGAGAGACAGAAAGCAAGAAATCACCTCCCAGGGAGATGGCCACACCTCAGTCCTTTCTGCTCCATTCTCCTCTTAGGATTACGGGCACGCACGCACGCGCCACCACGCCCTGTTTTTGTTTTTTTATAGATTTTTGCTATAGGGTGTGTGGGCTCACTGGAGAGACAGGCAGAGATAGAGAGACAGAAAGCAAGAAATCACCTCCCAGGGAGATGGCCACACCTCAGTCCTTTCTGCTCCATTCTCCTCTTAGGATTACGGGCACGCACGCACACACACCTGGCATGAGTTTCAAGCCACTGGATCCAGTACTTGAACAGTGGTCAGTCACATGAGAGTCCAGCACCTCACCACTACACCACCTGCTAGCCCCATGCTAAGGCTTTTTTTTTTTTTTCAAGAGGTTTTTGCTATAGGGTGCGTGCGCTTGCCAGAAAGACAGACAGAGACAGAGAGACAGAAAGCGAGAAATCACTCTCCAGGGGGGATGGCCACGCCACAATCCCTTCTCCTCCATTCTTATCTTGGGATCTTGGGCACACATGCACACTCATACTGTGTGAGATTAAGCCACCGGATCCGAGACTCGAACCGCGGTCGACTACATGGGAGTCCAGAGACATAGCCATTACGCTAACTGCTGGTCCCCCTAAGGCAGTTTTAAGGTACCTATTTGAATGTGGAAAGTTGATTTTACTTGAACTAGTACATATTTTTGTTTTAGGAACTGGAACAGTACAAAAGAAGTTCTTCCAAGTCTTGGAAACAAATTGAGCTTGATTCTTGAACCTAATTCACCCATCATGTATTTATTTCTTCTTTCCCAAATACAAGTAAGATTATTTTATTAATTAAACATTGTGGCAATATGTAAAGAAAGTTAAAATGTGTAATTTACTAAAGGAAAAGCTGAATTTCTTGTAGTAGACAAACCAAACTTGCTAGATATTTTGAAATCTTTTAAAAGGGAAAAAAATTATGTAATGACATGTAATTTTTTTTTTCAGTACAAGAATCTTCTACTACTACCTCTAACATGTTTAAGTAATGTATATTCAATTCAGCATGTATCAATTTCTGCTTCTATGTTTTTAGGAATATGAAAACCAGATTATTCAGTAACCGTTTGAAACATAAGGCTAAGCACCCATGTTGCACACATACGTTCTTTGAGGGAGTTCTCAGCCATAGCTGGTAGGAAACCAAACTGGGCTTACATGTGTCATGATTTTATTCTAGACAAGGGCACGAGAAGCACTTGAAGTACTTCTGTCAACTGCACATTCCTGTCTCCACACCAGAGATTCTGAATCAGTGGCCTGGAATGGGGCGTTTTTAATCAGCACCTGCCAGTGAAATGGACACATTTATTTTAAATAACACTTTTTGGGGACCAGCAGTTAGTGTAATGGCTGTGTTGCTGGACTCCCATGCAGTCGACTGCAGTTCGAGTCCTGGACCCAGTGGCTTTAGCTCACACTGGGCACGTGTGCATGTGTGTACAAGATCCCAAGAGGAAAATAGAGGAGAAGGGATTGTGGCATAGCCATCCCCCCCGCGGAGTGATTTCTCACTTTCTGTCTCTCTGTCTCTTTCTTTCTGGTGAGTGCAAAAAAAAAAAAAAAAATCTTTCAAAAAAATAATAAAATAAATAAATAACACTTTTTAAAGAACAGGAAAATTTACACAGATACCCTATCAATAAGCAGGTCAAAACTTCATAAGTTAGGGATAACCAGGATCATTTCCAAGGTGGGATAATCTTTAAGAAGCTTTCTTAATCCTCTAAATTTGTATACTTGCTAATAAGATTCAATTCTGAATAAGTATAATTCTTGTTGTTAACCAGGAAAGTAATTTATTCTACATTTTTTCTATTTCTGTGTCTAAAATGTATTGACTCTAATGTTCCATGCACACAGCTTCAAATAAACAAATCTACTAACCCTGACAACACCAAAGCTGATGAGTGATGTCTGAGTGGGTAGCAAGTTATCTGATCATTGCAGTGACATAGGACTTCATGCTTGATTTGCAGAGCATGTAGTTCTAATACTCTTAAGAACACAATTTTTAACATGTTTCCAAGGAACCTCAGTCTTAAGAACAGAGAGATTCCCTGCCTGAGAGCAGTAGAGAAGGAGCTCCCTTTAAATTCATGGTGAAAATGTTGAGCTCAGAAACATTACTTACTTGGTGGAAGAGACAGCCTATTGCACAATAGTAATCGGAATTCTTATTATATAATTTGATTTTTGCTACCCATCACTGTTCATTTTTGACTTGAGACACAAACTGTCATATGTTGAAAGCCATTGTGTTTTTCTAAGATGCTATCACTAACATTTAATAGCTCGAAGTCACGTGCGATGTCAATTTTCCAAGTGTTTCTGAGTGAGAATGAAATTCATCTGCATATGAATAGTAGAAAATGTTTCCACTTACATTGTACACCCATATCTTTGGTAAGTTGAAATCAGAGATTTCAAAAGAGGTTCCTGTGGGACTCTCTTTGAACTACTTTAATAGATTATCATCTTCAGAATTGTCTATAACTGATGTGACATATATAATCTGTAAGGCATTGTGTAACTATTATACCATAATCATCTGTGTCAAAGACCTTTTATGAAAATTGACAATACTATTCTGGTAATTCACCAGTGTCTCTAGATCCTTAAATTCTAAGAAGTAGAATTTTACTCTGATTTCCTTAATGAAGTGATCTTTCCTACTATAGTGTGAGACATTTCAAATGCTATAATTTATCATTCTTTACAAGTTAGGTCACAGTCACTGAACAAGTTCATGTGCTCTCTGCAAGATTTTCGCTCCAGGTTACCATGGAAACATTGAGACAGTTTCATTTTGGACTTGTACGTGAACCATATGAAGACCAATCAATCATTTAGTACAGAACCCATTATGATAATCTAGATACATCATTTCGTCCCTGAAAATATGTAATGTAGGTGTCTGTATTTGTATTTTTCAGCGTTCTTTCTCTTTACAGTTTAAGAACACTAATTCCTAGTGTGTAGCCCTGTTCTGTAGAGTGTAAATGTTGTGTCAGTTGCACATTTTTTATATAGGCTTTCAAATAACAGCTGCTCTCCAATCCTACAGAGGTCATATACACTTCGTCTCGTGATGTTTTCTTCTAATTTTATAAATCAAACTAAGCCAAGATTGAAAAATAGCAAACTGAGGGGCTAGTAGGTGGTGTAGTGGTCTATACTCCTACATGACTGACTGGTTTGAGTCCCAGACCCGGCAACTTCAAAATCATGCTGGGTGTGTGTGCATGCATGCCCAAAATCCCAAGAAGGGAATGGAGGAGAGGGGTTTGTAGCATGGCTATCTACCCTGGGGGTGATTTTTAACTTTCCCTCTCACTTATCTTTCTCTCTCTCTCCAGCAAGTATGCACTCCCTATGGCAAAAACTTAAAAAAAAAAAAAAGAAAGGAAAATGAACTAATTTTTTAAAACATCACTAGAGGTTTGTCTGGTATACTATGTTCATTACTCAGCCCATTTCTCTAGTTTGTTATTTTAATCCTTCCATGTTTTGAGTATCCACCAAACTCATGTGGAAGCTTGGTTCAGCGTGGCAGTGATGGGAGGTGGGACCTCTAACAGGTGGGGCCTAATGAGAATCATTTGTTTCATGGAGATTCTTTTTTTCCTGGGTGGATTGATTCTGTTCTTGAGGTAGTGAGTGAGTTCTCACTCTCATGAGACTGGATTGTTAGAAAGCAGGTTCCTATAAAGCAAGGATGCCTCTTACGTCTTGTCCCTTTGCATATATTACTGTTGCCCATTCTGCATGTATTTCCTTTTCCTGTCACATTCTACCACGTTGTGATGTAGCACCGAACCCATACCAGAAGCTGATCAGATGTGGCTGCTCAACTTTGGATTTCCTAGCCTCCAGAACCATGAGCCAAATAAAATTACCCAGTGTCAGATAGTTTTTTCATAACAACAGAAAACAGACTAAGACGAGCCTTCAATAAAATCCTCGAGTAATGCTCTGTGTCAGTGGTGTTCATCATTCATCTGTCCAACGTCCTCTCAATGTGACCAGGTAACTCAGATCCCTCGTGTGACATGTGCACATAAATACTGGTTTTAAAATAAAAGCATTCTTACTCAACTCTGCACAATGTCTTGTTTCAATTAAGTCTACAACTCTTTTGTTGTTGTTTTTGCTAGAGGACATGTGCCCTCAGCTGGGGACAGAGATAAAGGAAGGGGAGTGAGAAAATGCCCTGATGGGGGATGGCCATGCCACAATCCCTTCTCCTCCATTTCTCACTCCTTTTTGGGATTTTGACCACACACCCATGTACTTGGCGTGTTTTTCAAGCCTCTGGATCCAGGACTCAAACTTCACAGATGGCCATGTGTGATCCAGGCACATTACCCACCACACCAGCCGCTGACCCCAAGCCCACAACTCTTTTTATGTAAGTTAGTAATGATTTAAACTTTTTTTTCCTTGAATCCTTTATCAAATATAAACATAAGTTTTAAAATATGTTTTTCTTTGTCTAGAACAAGGAAAATGAGTAGTCAAAAGAGACTCCCATACGTTTGTGAATTACTATTTACATTCCTATTCCAGTCTTGTCACAGTTTCTAAATACTGTGTGTCCCTGCAAGTTGGAATAGCAGGGGACAATGAACGATACCCATGGCCTTCAAGGCCTGTGTGGATCCACGGGGCACAAATGCAGTCTGCACGATTGAAAGATTTAAGATGATCTATCAAGAAAGAAACACATGGCATTCTTCTTTCGGATCTTCAAAGCAGTCTTGCATATCTAGCAACTTATGTTCCATTTCCCAGCAATGTTCTTTACTATCTGCTAATGAGATGATCCCTTATTTTGAAAACAACTATTCCTAGGATGACAAGAACTGGGATAAATGCATATAAAACCAGAAAGTTTGTTGTGAATCTTGATGTTGCACCTGGGCACGTTCTCTCAATGAATTGAATTCCTTGAGTGATGGTACACATTGGATTAGCTGCCACAGAATGATTTGAGCTTCCTGCCAAGGAAAAGATTGACAATATCAGCTGCGGTACATCCTGGGTAGTTAAACCAACAAGTATTACCTAATGCTCTTGAAATACCAGGTTGTCAGAAAAGTCATGACACATTTTTGCATAGAAAAACAAAAAATACATCATGACTTTTCCAGTGACCCAATAGTTAGCACTGCTAAGTACCCTTCTTTGGAAAAGACGCAGGGCATTTTAGAGTGCAGAATTCACATTTAAATGAAACAGGAGTGTTCTGGGCCTCGGCTTTATTTGGAGGTGGAGATGGATTTATTTCTGTTTGGGGTATAAGCTCATAACCATATTCCTGGTAAAAATCATGGTCACTTAGCACAGAAAATCCTAAATTACTGATACTATCACCTAAACATTTTAAAAATAACTATTAATCCTATTGTGTTCTGTAGCTGTCTTTAGAGTGGTGTTGGGATTTTCCCAAGGGCCATGAGGACCTCGCCGTGTTCCCACCACTTCGGAATGCAGCTCTTGTGTACTATGTACATTTTAGGGACCAAGGAGCCACCTCAGCCTGCTTCAGTGCATTCGGTAGGTACAGGAACTGCGTCCATCCAGAATGCACGAGAGTTTGCTGCAGTGTACATAGGTCTATCGTTTTCTTTTTAAAAATTATTTTATTTAACTTTATTTATTTACTGATTTATTTTTAATTTGGCCAGAGAGGGACAGAGTGAGAGAGAGAGAGAAAGTGAGCAAGCAAGCTGCCAGGTCTCGGACTAGAACCACAGTCATCCATGTGGGAGTCCAGCACCCTTAATCACCATACCACCTGCTAGTCCCAGGTCTGTCATTATTTAGTAACACCTAGGTGGTCTTAAACTGTTGACCTTTGACAGGAGACTAATCTGATTGCTCCTTTTCTTTTGTTTTAAAAATCAAAGAAAATGTTGGATTTTATTCCAAAATAAGGTTTTATTTATTTATTATTTGCCAGAGGGCTTATGTGCTTGCTGAGAAAGAGAGAGGAGGGGAGAGAGAAGCAGCCCCCTCAGTGGGGCATGGTCACACAACAATCTCATCTTCTCCATTTCTCCATTTTCTCAGGATTTGAAGTTGTGTGCATGCATGCAATGCACATACACTTGGCATTTTCTTCAAGCCATTAGGAGTGGGATTCAAACCACATGGTTCACAATGTGGGATCTAGCTTCCCTAACCACTACATGGCTGGCATATTTTATATACATAAGTGCAACCTGACTGGCATATTTTATACACACACATGCACTCACACACACATATATATATATTTTAAGAGACATTTTTTGCTATGGGGCTCATGGAGAGACAGAGACAGAGAGACAGAAAGCAAGAAATCACCCCCCATTGGGGAGATGGTCACATGGTCACACCGCAATCCCTTCTTCTCCTCCATTCTCCTCTAGGGACTTTGGGCATGCACACATATGTACCCAGTGTGAGTTAAAAGCCGCCAGGGACTTAAATAGTGTTTGACTACATGGAAGTCCAACAGCATAACCATTACACCATCTGCTGGTCCCTATATGTATGTATGTATGTATGTATATGTGTGTAAGAATATATATGTGTGTGTGCGTACACATTTTATTTATATAAATAAATAAATAAATAAATATTTCCTTCAGGAACTTGGTTCTCAGAATAATATGTAAAAATAATATTCCAAAATAGAATACTTACCACAGGTAAAATTCAGTCCATAGAACTCATTGACTACAAGAATCTCACTGCAATATTTTTGGAATGTAAAATAACTGATGATTTTCAAAGGAATGGGCATTTCTTCTATGTTCCTTAAGAAAAAAGAGAGAGATGAAATTCTATAGGCTCTGGTAATAGTCCTACCAAATGAAAAGAAATCTTTTTTTTTTTTTTGGAGAAGTTTTTGCTATAGGGTGTGTACGCTTGCCAGACAGACAGAGAGAGACAGAGAGACAGAAAGCAAGAAATCACCCCCCAAGGGGGATGGCCACGCCACAATCCCTTCTCCTCCGTTCTCCTCTTGGGATCTTGGGCACGCACGCACACGCGCCTGGTGTTAGAGTTTTAAGCACTAGGTCCGCGGTCGACTACATGGGAGTCCAGCGACATAGCCATTATGCTAACTGCTGGTCCCAAGAAATCCTTATTTTATATTTTCTGACATGAACAAAATTTTCCATCTCTCTATCATAAAAAGTGTGTTCACCACAAAAAAAAAAATCTTCAAACAATACTGAAAAATACTAAGAAATACCACTGTCTAGAAGTAACTGTTGTTAACCTTTTGGTGACATATGATATATGTGTTTGTTTATAAATTTTACATACATAGAGTTAAACTACTCTTGTTCTTTCCAAACCTGCTCTTTTTCTCCCAAACATATGTGTCAGAAATCCTTCTAAGTCTATAAGCACAGCACTTGGTCATTTACTTTTAAAGCTTTTTTGCCGTAGGGCCACACACTCACAGGAGAGTGACAGTGAGAGGGAAAGTGTGGAATAACCCCCGCGGCGGGTGGGGGGTGGCACACTGCAGTCACTTCTATTCTCTTCCTGGGATTTTGGGCATGCATACTCACGTACCTAGCATGAATTTTAAGCCACTACCAGGTCCTGGACTCAAACTATGGTTGGCCATGTAGGAATCCAGCTCTTTAACCACTATACCACCTGTTGGCCCCGCACTTTGTCATTTTCAGTCACAGTTTGCTAATCCATTGTAGTGGAGACCTTAATTTAACAGTCCCCTCTTGATCGATTGATGTGTCTTTTTTTTTTTTTTTTAAGTAAGCACCACTGATATAAACATGTAAGAAAATATTCACCTAACAGATTAGAGGAGAATATTTGTGATTAAACAGAGATTTGAAGGTGCAAAAATATGAAGTGAGAATTAAGCGAGAATTCAAACGAAGGGATGGAGAAAGCAAGCAGACATTCCTTATGAAAAGTCTCCTCTCCTCTCCTCTTTCAGGAGAAATTTCATGATGACATTGTGTCCTTCTTAGTCCACTGTATAGTTTTACCAATCAAATATATATATATACTGAATTCCACTTGCAAGGCCCTAATTCTAGGTGCTTGAGGAAGGCCAAACCCTAAAGAACCTAAAATGTGGGCTAGGTAATGGCTCAGTGTAACAGCTAAATCCACATGGGAAGACCCTGTGTTTGCACCCTGAGACGTCCTTGTGCACACCAGGCACACAAACACGCCATGTCTGGGCTGGCTGAGATGGGGGCGTGAATTCTGGTGTGAAGACTCTTGCTGTACTTTGTCTCCGCGCCTCCGCCCCACCCCGTGTCTCCCTCTTTCCCACAGAAAAAAATAAGTACACTTTTTAAAAAAATTTTTAAAAAGAGAACTTAAAATGTAGTTGGGGACATAGAATATGTATCCTGAAAGCTATAAAAATACACAGTAATGAACTGTTTGTGCCCAAAAATTAAAAGCCAGTAATCACATGTCCATAACACTCCTGTATATAGTGCTTATGGCTGCACCTATTCCCAAATGACTCCCAAACTCTCTAACTTTCAGTCATTGGAAATTTTGTAAGGTATAAAATTGAATTAACCTCATCAAGAGGCTGCTAATTGAAAAGGATAGGTGAGACTCTGGGAAGAAATTAGGGGAAAGGAAGGATGTTCTAGGAAAGCAGAAATGGTGTGCACACAAGGGGTGCATATGGGGCTGACGGACCAGAGAGACGGCCGCAGAGGATTTGAAGTGGGAGCAGTGGGAGATGGGACTGGAGATGAGTTGCCACTAAGAGTCAGAGCAGGTAATGTTTTAAGAAGGAAGAGCCAGAATAAGGGAAGATTAAAGACAGCTAGAAAGGAAACAGGCTAGAGCAAAATTCAAATATAAGCTGACAATAGCCAGAAATAGGATGATGCCCACAAGAGTATGGCCGCCCTGCCGGTTGGAAATGCTACCTCTGAGGTAGGAACTTGCGCTGTCTTCTCTTTCTGTACTCCCCAGGGCTGAACACAATACAAATGCTCCATGTGGTTTATGGTTTGATATCAGAAAAGAAAACCGATGTGATTTGGTGCCTGATCCAGTGTGTAGTAGTCCAGGGAGAGTCACTTACTGACTCACTCAACTCAAGTAATTTTAGCCTTAGTTTAAGCCACCGGGTCCAGGACTCGAACCGCGGTTGACTACATGGGAGTCCAGCGACATAGCCATTACACTAACTGCTGGTGCCAACTCAAGTAATTTTTGAAAGCCTAATTGGTTCAAGGTCATGGGCTGGCCACTAAGCAGAACTGTATGGGTGAATGAGCCACAGCTGCTGTCCTCAAGAGATTGACTCTTTCAAAGGAAGACAGCTACACAGGGTGGCACGTACTGGGCTATGAGAGAAAACGAAGGGGACTTTCAGAGAGAACTCCTCTAGCTATGGGGACAGTGGGCAGGCTTTGTGCAGGTGGCATAGGAAGACAAATAGATCAGTAAATGGCACAGGAGAACCAGGCTATCACAGAAATCTTTGAAGTACTTTTAAGAGGGAGAAACCATGGATATGAATTTATTGACCTTGAATCTCCACAATATGTCGTTAAATGGAGGAAATAAAGCATGCATACTTCACAGCTTATAAAACAGTATGATCTGATTTTTATTTAAAAATTATATAGAAGTCTAGCAAGACAACAAAATTTGACTCTGGGTTGTGATACTTTGGGTAACTTTTACCTTCTTCATACATCTCTATTTTGTGGCATTTTTCTCCCCAAAGAATGTCATTATTTTGTAAGCCTAAATCATAAAATAGCTATTTTCGTTTGCAATTAAAGGACGAGGGAGCCAGTAGCACAATGCTACAGGCAACTCAATCAGGAAAGATGATGTCTTGAGGGAAAACAAATCTCATGACCAGGAAGTTGACACGGGCTTCAAGAATGGAGTATTGGGGACCAGCAGTTGGCTTAATGGCTATGTCGCTGGACTCCCATGTAGTCAACCACAGTTGAGTCCCGGACCCGGTGGCTTAAACTCATGCCGGGTGCATGTGCGTGCGTGCCCAAAACTCTGAGAAGAGAAAGGAGGAGAGGGGATTGCGGTGTGGCCATCCCCCCTGGGGGGTGATTTCTCGCTTTCTGTCTCTCTGTCTCTCTCTGTCTGTCTGGTGAGCACACGCACCCTACAGCAAAAAAAACCTCTCCAAAAAAAAAAAAAAAAGAATGGAGTTTCTGTTTAGTGATGGGAATCCATGGGGAGCCTGGGATGTTAAAATTTTGCAAAGAACCTAATAATATTTAGTAAGACTGGTCACTGCTTCCTTTTTAAGAGCAATTAATCCACCTTTCCAAAGAAACAAATACATGAAATACTGCCAAATTGACTGGAACATGCAATGATTCAAATAATGTGAAAAAGGAGATGCTGCCCACGGTTGTAACTTGCTGGCTTGAATCCCGTACCCTTGGGGTGATTCGATTGGTATATTTTTCATAGATGTTAACAATCCACTTAAGCAACAGAAATGAATACAGTATAATGGTATCACTGTAAAAATATCCTCCTTGGGACCAGCAGATGGTGTAATGGTTACGTTGCTGAACTCACATGGCCAACCACAGTTCTAGTCCTGACTTAGTGGCTTTTAACTCATTCCAGGCACAAGTGCCCAAAAAACCCGAGTCCAAAGAAACAAATACATGAAATACTGCCAAATTGACTGGAACATGCAATGATTCAAATAATGTGAAAAAGGAGATGCTGCCCACGGTTGTAACTTGCTGGCTTGAATCCCGTACCCTTGGGGTGATTCGATTGGTATATTTTTCATAGATGTTAACAATCCACTTAAGCAACAGAAATGAATACAGTATAATGGTATCACTGTAAAAATATCCTCCTTGGGACCAGCAGATGGTGTAATGGTTACGTTGCTGAACTCACATGGCCAACCACAGTTCTAGTCCTGACTTAGTGGCTTGAAACTCATGCCAGGCACATGTGCCCAAAAATCCTGAGAGGAGAATGGAGAAAAAGGGATTGCAACATGACCATCCTCCTAGGGGTGATTTCTCATGTTTTGTCTCTCTGTCTTTGGAGAGCACATGCACCCTATAGCAAAAATCTCGGGGGGAGGATTATATATATCTCCTTATTTTATATATTTATATATCCTCCTTGATTGACCAAAACCTAGCTCACTTTGCTTTATAATGTATTTGCATTTGCTCCTCATGATCCCTTCAGATAGGCGGGGCTGCGGTAATTATCTCCATTTTATAAATGAGGAAACTAATTTAGATAGAAAAGTGACTTGCCCATGGTCATGTGGCAGCTCAGTGGTAGAGAAGTGACTCCTAGGTCAGTCCTCTCTCCCGGGAGTCACGTGCATCATGGCAGAGTTTTCATGGAGGCGTGACTTGAGCAAAGTCAAGCTGAGTTTAGTTTTTTTATGATATATGGATTGCTTTGAAAGGTTACGTAATTTAAAATATAAATATAATTATATATAGTAAAGGCTCTGTCAGTTTGGTTTGTTATTTGATTTTTAAATCAATGAAGCAGAACCGTCTTCACATTTCCTCAGGTACTTATCATTTACTTCCTAAATCCCACTTACACTTCCTGCCACAGATTATTTTCACCCTTTAAGAATTTCTACCCTTTCTTGGGGCCAGCAGGTGGTGTGGTGGTTAAGGTGCTGGACTCCCATATGGCTGACTGCAGTTCAAATCCCAAATCTGGTGGCTTGCTTTCTCACTTTCTCTCTCTCTCTCTTTGTCTTTCTCTGGTAAAATTAAAACATAAATAATAATAACAAATAAAATAAATATATCATTAAAAAGAATTTCTACCCTTTCTGCTACTGCTTTTTAAAAATGCATATACTTACACACACACACACACACACACATACACACAAGCTTTTGGGGGCATTATCAAATCATGTTTGATCACTATGGACGTTTTCCAAAATACAGAAAACGTGAAGAAAAGAATTAAAATATATATTACCCATATATAATTACTGTTAACATTTGACACATGTCCTTTAAGTCCTGGTACTTTCTTGAGCAGTCTTATCCTGCAGGGTTTTTTTGTCTATGATTACTGTAGTCTTCATTCCTAGAAATAACTGGGAATTAAGAACTGGAATACAGACCCAACTGTGCCAGGTCAGGAATGAACAGACATGTACGCTGGTTAGCCCAGATGGGCTGTGAGGTCTTTCGGAGCATCTAGCTTCATTTTCTCTCTTTTTGTTCTTTGAATAAGAACAAGGTATTATTACATGTGAGTCATATGAATACTATGTTTACTTTGTCATTTCCTAATTCTCAAAGCCTATTTTATTGAACAAACAGCAAACAGTCCAAGGTCTAAGGCAATAATGATTGGCAAGCAGTATAAATACTCGAGACTCTAAGGTGTTACCGTTGACCAGTATTTCATAGCTCTTCTCTGGAATTCCTTTATAACAGTCACTATTAACTGATCTAACAACAAATTATAGCAACCTAAATTCTTTGTGTTTTTTTTAGTAATTATTTAATTTTATTTATTATTATTATCTTTTAATTTGACCAGAGAAAGAAAGGGAAATTGAGAAAGTAAGCCGCCAGGTCTGGGACTTGAACCACTGCAGGCCATGTGGGAGTCCAGCGCCTTCACCACCATGCCAGCTACCAGCCCTGCAACCTAAATTTTTAAAATTGTTATATCTTACCTGAGGAATCCAGATCCAATAAGCACGCCAGCAATAGACAGTAGAGCCACTATACTGTTGACTACATTTGGGTTCTGGACTATACCAAGTAGCACAAGAGACACAAATTCTCCAATTAAGTGAGGGACCAAGAGAGCAGCACAAAAATATCCAAATCTGGCAGCCTCGGGGTATAAGCCCAGAGTCCTAGAAGGAAAAACAATCTTTAGTTTCCTCCTAAATGATTATCACTTAAGAAAAATACCCTACTTGCCTTCACTGGCTGAATCCTTGTGGCAAGTGGTGAGGGAGGAGGTTGCAAGCCAAACTCCCCCTGAAAGGCCAACATTCAAGACCATTTATTGCTACAAATTGTCTCCATTAGGCCCAAGTGGTCGTGGGCCACCTTTCCTTTTTTTCAGCTCCGTCAGGGTTCATAGGATAGTATTAAATTCCTTAGACTAGGGCCACAACTATCTGCAGTAAGTAAGGCTGCTCCCTTGAACAACCACATTCTGCCTAGCTAGCACCACTCCTACCTAATGCTAAAGGCCATTCCATCTGCTCCTCAGCCCCTCCTTCCCTGCACTCTATCCCTGTTATGTGGATTATTGCCAGCATGAAAGCCCTTCACTGCTGCTGCCCAGGTCAGCGTGGTCCTCCGTAGCCTACCCCAGTCCATTCTTCCCTTTTATCCCATGGACACCTCCAATGCTTTAGCCTTTGTTTTCTGGTAAACAGACTACCCTTTATCCATGCCCATCTCTTACTTTCCTTGCAGCACACCACACGTCCCCAGAAATGCCATGCCTTCAACAACCAGTAGACACGGCTGCTCTTCCCTCCATCATGGAGTCTGCTTATACTAATTCCCTTCCCCTATGGCGTTCTTCTGTGACTTTTTAGCCATTCTCTTACCTTTGATGATTTTACAGACCAGGGTCATTCTTTCCATTCCCCCTATAACTTTCTTCAAGGTCTTTAACCTTCTTTTTTTTCTTTTTTTTTTTTTTTTTGAGAGTTTTTTTCGCTATAGGGTGCATGTGCTCGCCAGACAGACAGAGAGACAGAAAGCGAGAAATCACCCCCCAGGGGGATGGCCACGCCGCAATCCCTTCTCCTCCATTCTCCTCTCGGGATCTTGGGCACGCAGGCACACGCACCCGGCCTGAGTTTTAAGCCACCGGGTCCGGGACGCGAACCACGGTCGACTACCTGGGAGTCCAGCGACATAGCCATTACACTAACTGCTGGTCCTGAACCTTCTTGACGAACCATCAACATCAGTGTCTCTTTGATAGCTGATTGCCTCAATTTTAATACTCCATCTACCTAATATTGATCACTCACCATGATTTGGACTTAAATATTACTAAAAAAATTTCCACTTCCAAGATTTCAGAGTCTGAAAACACCTTTCAGAACACCTCCTGTCCTCCATTTTCTCAAGGTCCTCACTGCCTCAGAGCCCTCCTTGCTCCCTTCTGCCATTCTTTGCCTTAAGTCCCCACCTCTGGGGACTTGGCTGTCTCACGTAAGCAACCGAAGTGTGTTC